TCCACAAGGAGATGATGTTAATGTTCTAAAAACCATTAGCTAGATAAGCTCAGCAATTGCTCCCCACCACATCATAAGGTCAGGCTGGTAAGAAAGTCACAACAAGAAAGGTAGACTAATATTTAAGAGTGTCCTGACAATAACCCTAGCGTCAATCCATTTCAAAACTATTGGCAGGAAAGAACATGGAGATTCATGACAGATGTGGTGGAGAGAAATGTCTTTGGGTTACTTGAGTAAATTAAAGGATTCTGTCATTTTGAGGACAATGCTCTCCATCGACTACAAAACTCTCCTTTTGTGGACAATACTCCTCTGCGACGGTAAAACTGTCCTTCTCAGGACAACTGCAAAACTGTCCTCGGGACAACGGTCCTCGATGACTGCAAAACTCATTTTCAGGACTATGCTCTTTAGCAACTAAAAAATTGTCCTTTTCAGGAGAACGCCCTTCTCACCCTCCACATGAATCATGCAAATAATTTTTTGCTGAGTGCACTGTAAACTTATTTTTGTTGATGTATTTCTTTTGATGAAAATAAACTTGGCAATATATTTTTTTTTGTTTGTTGTCTTCCGTCATTCAGTATCTCTTAATATAACATCAACAATACTTCCAGATGGTCATCAAATGCAACACAATTCTATATTAAAGTAAACCATTTTTTATTATGTTGGGTTGAAAATGTAGATAAAATTAGAAATGTGAAACATCTATATAAGATATAAATAATACTAACTGGACGACAATACATAGCAATACTAAATCGGAATAAACAAAACAAGATAATTACTTGTAGAGGGTGAACCATTATTTTCTTTTAATTATGGCCATAAGAAATGGAATTACCTAATTAAAAGAAAAAAAAAACTCAACTATATTGTAAGGTAAAAGATAAACTGTCTTGGAAATTTGCAGTTAATTCACTTCTTTGTTTTCGCAGAGATTTTTTGTTAGCAAATCAGATAATTTCTAATTTTTTATGTAAGCATAATAAACAAGGTTTATTTAAAGATTTACGGGTTGTAGCAATTTTTTTAGTATTTTCCATTTCCCCATAGGGATTTCGTTAACTTTTTTTAATTTCCAAAAATATTTAGAAAGGGACATCATATTTTTGTACACATTATTTGTGAAAGATAATACATGTTGATACCACCCAGTTTTAAAAGAATTCTTGGTACTCCCAATATAAATTTTTTTAATTATTGAATCTTCAATAGCAGAAATAGTGCTTAGGCAAACAAGAAAGTCAGTTTGACATCAGTTTTGCAATGGGCATTCCTTAGAATTTCTACAATTACACTTGTTGGTATTATCCGCATTTGTTGCTTTCAAATGGCAATTATTACTCAGATTTTTGTATAAGTTTAAGATTTTATTGTTTTTTAATAATTTTTTTCAAGATGATCTGTACAGCTATAGCTTAATTTTAGTGTATTTCTGTTAAAAGTTTTACTGTGTGGATTATTTCTGGGGGAGTGTTTATCAATTAAATGGGGAACTTCTGCCCTAACTTATTACTATTTGGTTAAATGGGGGTGTGTACCAAATGATTTTCCCCGTTTCTATTCTTATTACTATGATCAGTGTTATGTTTTAAATATTTGATGTCAGTGCACTTATAGCCACTATTTTTTAAGGCAGTGTTGTAAACTTTACTACACTTGCAAAAAGAACTTCACTAGAAGAGTTATTGCTAATCATATATTCTATAGAAGAGGATATGTGTTTGATTATGGATGGAGGGTGGTTAGAATTTGAGTGGATATATACTGGATTGGCATTTGTTTTCATATAGGGTTAGAATACATTAATAACTAAGTCTAATGTAATGTCAAGGAAATCTACTTTTTTAAATTAGTGTTGATATTAACTTTAAGGTTAAGACTTAAAATCTCTATGTATTAATTTTCTGATTTTGTCAGCTTTCATTTTTGTGGAATTTTTCACTAACATAAGGCCATCTTCTCCATATAACCCTATATTATCAATGTTAATACCAATTTAGGCAGTAAGATTACATAAGATAAATAAACCAGCAAGGTCGGAAGACTCAGCAGAATCTAATGATCCCATAGAAATATCAAATTGATCAACAGAATTGTTTTTAATCCACTGTTCTTTGTTATGGATGAGAACAGATCTTCTGCAGTTCATAATAATCTCAAGATCTTTGTTGGAAAGATCTAAATACTCCCTGCCAAACTCCAAAGCCAAAGTAAAAAGATCCCTGGAAACAGAGGGGTACAAAATCCACAATATCAAATTAAATAAATAAACAATTTCTTTTATCACTTATAACATTGAACAAATTTATGACATCCAGAGTATTAATCCACTGTAAAAGTCCAAGTCGCTTTCTAATCAGTTGGTTGATTCTATCAAAGATGTACTTGCTAATCCTTTCAATTTCTGGCCTGGTTGGGCTGATACTTCTAGTGGGAAGATTGATCTTAAAATTACGTTTATGATCCTTGATTGTGACATAGGATTCTTTAGTACAGAGTTTGTTAACTCTGTGGTTAATTTTGAGCTTGTCGGTTAAAATTTTACTTGTTGCATTAATTTTATCAACTAAATTGATATTATCTTTCTTTTTATGTGCCATGTCCTTTCAGTACGGAGGCGATCATGGCTCTCCACCTCCCTCTATCCCATGTAGCTCTCAACAAGTTCCTTCCCTCTGCTTCCTCCCCTAGATCACGTTCTGTCATCCAGGTATGTCATGCACTACTTTCCCTTGTCTCTTTTTCCCTCTATTTGACCTGTGAGTATCAGATTCTCTAAGCCCTTCTTTCACTCAAGTTAAATTTTTAAAAAATAATATAATCAGTAATTTCTTTCTTTCTTTTTATGTGTCATGTCCTTTCATGATGTAGGCGATCATGGCTCTTCACCTCTTTCTATCCCTTCCAGCTCTCAACAAGTTCCTTCCCTCTGCTTCCTCCCCCAGAGCACATTCTGTCATCCATTTGCTTAAAGCCACTAGGTATAACATGCGTTGTTTTCCCTTGTCTCTCTTTCCCTCTATTTGACCTGTGAGTTTCAGATTCTCTAGGCCCTCCTTTCTTTCTTTTTATGTGCCATGTCCTTTCAGGATGTAGGCGATGATGGCTCTCCACCACCCTCTATCCCTTGCAGCTCTCAACAAGTCCATTCCCTCTGCTTCCTCCCCCACAGCACATTTTCCGTTGACATAAATTAAGAAATATCTTTCTTTCTTTTTATGTGCCATGTTCTTTCAGGACGGAGGCGATCATGGTTCTCCACCTCTTTCTATCCCTTGTAGCTCTCATCAAGTTTCTTCCCTCTGCTTCCTCCCCCAGACCACGTTCTGTCATCCACTTGCTTAAGTCCTCCAGCTATGTCACGCGCTGTTTTCCCTTGTCTCTCTTTCCCTCTATTTGACCTGTGAGTATCAGATTATCCAGGCCCTCCTTCCTCATTATGTGTCCCAGAAACTTCAGCTGCCTCCTCCTTGTTTACTTTTCTATAATTTTTAGTTAATTTTTTTTTTTAATTAAAATACTATAATCCTTAAGAGTAAACTTGTAGAAGTTGGCTGTTTTGTTGGATTTGATAAAAACTTTGTCAGACGAATCAATGACTTTTATAACACAGTTCAAATGCCTCTGAAAATAATTTTTATATTTATGAAAAGAGATACAATCAATGATTTCTAATAAATCATTTTCAAAACCATATAATTGTTTGATGAATGGTGCAGTTTATAAGCTTTGGAAGCCATAAAAATCGTTGTTATGAACAAAGAAATAGGCTTTCCATCTCATCTGCTATAATAAATTCACAGATCTAGTTTTAGAATAATAAACCGGTTTGTTTGTATTGGGAATATTCTTAAGAGAGATTTCAGAATTGGTTTTTTCCATGTTAATGTAAAAAAAAATAAATGTAGAAAGTACTCTATAATGAAGGGAGCAAAATATCCAAATAAGAGAAAGAACAGATAAAATAAAATTCTGCTGTTTGTAGCATTTACTTTTTTAAAAAAAGTGCTCAATACAAAGTAGAGCAATATATTATTATTTTATCTTAGATATTAAAAAAAAACATGTTGAAATTGCTACACAGCAGCTTTCATGTTTTGGTATTATGTTGTCTCTCTTCAGGTGTACCGTAAGTGACAATAGATTAAATAATTTTAAAAAAAATCGTAATTCTTCTGATTGAATAAGCTCATGGCAAATTCATCAACTATAAAATACCCGAGGGAATTCCCTTATTGCTTCATTAAACATCTAAACAAAATATTTCAATAACAAACAAAATTATGAATGCTGGTCATTATTTAAAGAAGTAAGAGGGTACAAATGAAAAGTTCAGAAATTGACAAGATTTTCCATGTCACTGAAGTAGACATTGTGAGAGTGTTATCATCTCCCCTGTCTTTCTTTCTTTCTTTCTTATGTATGCATTAGTTTTTTGTTTTAAAACAGAATGGTCTCTTATTTATCTTTGGTAATGGCAGAGTGTCATAAACTTATTAACTCACTAACAGAGGGACAAGCAGAATTATTAATCTTATATGGTTCCTGCCAATCTGGAAATAAACGCTTTCAGCAGATAGAGGGACAATAAATTGCCTGATAGACCTAACTCACTTTTGCCTTAAAATGGATATAACCATTTCAGGTTATCGGATCTCTATATATAAAACATACTGAATGTAAGCCTCATAATATTGACTAATAATATAGAAGGGAGATAAATAGCATGTGACAGCAGCTGCACAAAGTCAAGGAATTTGGGTTTTGTTTGTGTGGAGGGCAAAAAAAAAACAAACAACTATATGGAAGGAGAGTTGCATTGGCAACTTTTTGAATCATTTTGGGACAGCCAGGTAAGAAGGATAAACTGGTTGAAGCCGGATTTACATGACAGATCATGTGTTTAGGTTGTCAAGAAAGGACAGGTCATGTGTTTAGGTTGTCAAGAAAGGACAGGTCACGTGTTTAGGTTGTCAAGAAAGGACAGGTCACGTGTTTATGTCATCGAGGAAGGACAGATCTAAATAAGGAAAGTTCATCTCCTGTTCCAGCCACTTGGCAGCTGACAACATTTCTTGTTCCTTGAAATCTTGACCAATTAGTTGGAGACCAATAGGCAGGCCGTTTTTGGATAATGCTGTTGGTACTGTGATCGCAGGAATACCTAGAACAAGAAAAATAAAAATAAAAATGTAAGTTTCAAATAAAGGAATAATTTCTTGAAGGTACAAGATATAAGTTAAGCATAACAAAGCAAACCATTTGACACTGAAGATAAAAGGCTCCAAAAATACACCAATGATATCTTTCAAAACAGTTGGTTAGTGGACAATGCTATGAGTAATAATAGCTGTTTCCTTATAAGGAAACATTCAGCATTCATTGACTGAACAGCCAGTACCAACTGAAATTTATAATCTTTTAAAAAATTTTGCAGGAAAATAGTTTTCTCAACTGTTATTGCTCTTTCTAGTATTGATGGAGGTTTCCTTCCTAAACTTTTGTTTGAAGTAGTGTGGAATGCCAACATCTTATGTCATTTTCTCCTCAATGTGCTATCCATTTTAGTTGTCGCTGCTGTTGAAAGTCCTCAAGTGATGTGGCTTCTCTTATTTTGTACAGTTCTTTGTTTTTGATTCTATTGCTACAGTTTACGAGGTTCGAAGAAGGAAGGTCAGACTGGGTTCTATAGCCTTGGATGACAACTGGTCTATCACAGAAAGAAATGACAACCTACTGCGGGAAAAAATCTGCCTCGTCAGTCATGTATCGAAAGATAAACGATTGCCTAAGCGTCTATCACGCATGGCACAAAACCGACTTTCTCCCCCCAGCTATGGGTAAATAGCAGGACAGACTGGGTTCTATAGCCTTAGATGGCAACTGGTCTACCAAAGAAAGAAATGGCAACCTACTGCAGGGAAAAAATCTGCCTCGTCAGTCATGTATCGAAAGATCCATGATCACCAAAGCATGGATCACGCATGGCACATATATGATGAAACATAGTAAAAAGTTTTCACACTCAATGTCCTTGTAAAATGTGGGGACGGATGCATTTTATGTGAGGGTGTATGTTATGCAAGGACAAATACACTATGTAACATTGTTCCACATGTTGAAGTTCATTTCTTTTGAAATTTTCTACCTCAGCCGTAGCAAGTAGTACCTCCTTCTGTATCAAAAACCAATAGCATCCTCGACCAATACAAAGTGTAAGACTATTTACTACAACTTCTTTCAGTTAAAAACAACAGTAGTTGTCTTCTATTCAAAAGTTGAATGCTTTTCTTTTCTTTCATGTTTTTTCTTCTTCATTATCTACTGAAAATAATAGGTGCCTTAACAAAAGAAACATTATTGTCTTTTGTTTCCTTCTCACCCAGTCATTCAATCAGCCTGGAATATTTTTCTTTTTGTTTTTCAAAGATAAATCAAGTTTCCATGGTAACACCCCAGGGTTTATAACGATCCTAGAATGACCATCATTGCTAGCCTAGCTACAACAAGGCAGGTTTATTGTTTCTCTTAATATGAGAATGAATTTAAAATCTGTACAACTTTTGACAATAAACTTCTGAAAGCTAGCTGTCAAAAATAATGTGAAAAAAATAAAAAATGTACCACACATATTAAATTTCTTAATAATAAACTAACAATGTGATGTGGCATCCTTCTGTCTTTTCTACAAATATTTTCATAGCAGCTGCTCTGACAAGCTTTTTTCCGACTACATGAATTTATGAGTGCTACTGGATTGGTGTATAGGTCCCACCTGTTTACTGTTGAAATAGCTAAGTTCAAATGCCACTTCTCCTCCAGCAGTTTCTTTTCTCACACTTCCTGCCTGCTGTGGAACTCCCTTCCATTTACTTGCTTCCCCGATAACTACAATCTTCAAAAATATAAATGCAATGTCAATCGCCATCTTCTTGAATTCTATTCATCTTTTTCCTTTCCTCAATCCTCTCTATACTCATATTTTTCTCTCCCTTTCACTCCCTGTAACCCCCTCCATACTAGTGGCATTCGCATCTTGTTTGGAGTGAAATGACTAAAAAAAAATATATATATGTGTGTGTGTGTGTTTAATCATTTAACCCTAAGCAAGATGTGAATATATATATATATATATATATATATATATGAAAAATTTATCAGAGTTAAGCTGTAGAAAAAGACAATAGGAAAACTGTAATAGTTGCCAACGTGTTTCATCCAATGTGGACATTTTTCAAGGCAAAAACAAAATGAATTTATTAAATAAAGTAACAAATAATAACAAAACAAAATGTTCTTAGCAACTGGAAGAATTTAGAGAATGCTATTTTCATACTGTTAATAGAATTACTTCTCTCTCAAACAAACGTACAGAACAGTATCAAGAAACCAAAAGAAAATGGTTGAATCAATCAACACAGCAATAAAAACAATATCTCCACATGTGACAGTAATTGATATCATTTTCAGTTAACAGTATGAAAACAGCGTTCTTTAAATTCTTCCAGCTGCTAAGGATATTTTGTTTTGTTACTATTAGTTACTTTGTTTAATAATTTCATTTCGATTTTGTTTGCCTTGAAAAAGTCCACATTTGACAAAACATGTTGGCAACTATTACAGTTTTCCTATTGTCTTTTACATTTATATATATATATATATATATATGTAAAAGACAATAGGAAAACAAGGGAAGGGTTGACTTTCTTATCTTGCATAAATTTAAGAGCTGGTTGGATATTGTTAAGGGACGTAAGAAAGAAGGTCATCTTCATTTTTGCTATTCAAGAGACAAAAAGTGTCATCGACATAACACATCAGGTCTATTAGGATCAGATAATAAACTGTCTTCATGGAACTCTACAAAGATGTTAGCTAAAATGGGTCCTAAAGAGGAACCCATTGAGACACCACCAATTTGCCTATACATGATGTCATTCAAACTCAATTCAACCAACATTGTGGCAGATTTCATAAGTTTGACAAAAATATCCTCTGAAATGGGAGGAGACAGTGGTCTACAGTATAAGATGTTAGCACATATATCAATAGTTTCAATAAGAGACATGCAGGTGAAAAGGCTAGAACTATCAAAGGAACACATAAATTTCTGAGTTGGCAGGTAATTCTGTATAAAATAAAAGAATTCAAAAGAATCTTTCATAGAGGACAATTTATATTGTTCCTAAACTGGCTGCAATACAGTGGCAAGCCAGTTGGCCACACCATGTTGGGAAGATCCTATCATAGACAGAATAGGTCTCAATGGGACCTCAACCTTATGTGTTTTGGGTAAACCACAGAGACGGGGACGAATTGAACCAGAGTGTCTAATCAAATGAGAAATGTCGGTGGGTAAAACTTCTAATCCACTTGACTAGGAGTTTTTGGAACTTAGCCTCAGTAATTAATGTGGCAGCAAACTTATCTATTGGGCTTAACAAATTTAGAGGAATCCTTAAGAATCGTCATCATCTTGTTTACATAATCCTGGATGACAATGTCTAAGCCTTCGTCAAGTTTCGTAATGCCCAAAGATTTATTATGACAGAGTGATTTGATAATCCGATATTGTTCCTTGTCTATATATTGGAGGCCATATATATTTTATCCATGAAATCGTCACTCTGTAAACAGAAGGTTTTTGTCCTTGGCCTCCAATTGTTTTCCGTTTAATATATTTTTTTTCCTTCCTTTAGATTCCATTCCATTTTTTTTTTGATAATATATACATATTTATTAACCTCGATTTCGCTCTGTTGATCAAGGCTCAAAATCAGTTAGCTGGCATGTTCATAATTTTTTCCTTTTAATTATTATCATGTGTGGTAGTATTAAAAATACAAATAAAATTTGTCTGCTTATGGCAGTTCATATATATATATATATATAATCAAATGAAGAAATATAAATAAATGTATGTGCATGTGTTCACATACAAATATATACATATATCCTTTAATGTAAGAAAAACAGTACTCAATGCCAAATAACAGAGCTGTTATACTGGTTTTAGTGTTTCTATTATTATTATTATCATTATTATTATTAGTCCTGTTTTTATTATTAATGTTATTATCACTTTGACCTATCATTTATTTTTACTATATTACAATTATTCTTTTTAGTATTACTATTATCAATATTACTTTTTTATTATTCTGTTATAATCATTACTTTTTTCTTATCATTATTTATCACTGCAAATATATTTTTTATTAATTTTTATTAATCCTATTGCTAACTTTTAAGGGAAAAAAGTTACTTGACTTTCAAACGAATTTAAACAACAGTGTCCATAAATGTCTCCTTTAAATGAACATTAGAATTTCTCATTTTTAAGTGTGAGTTTTTAAATTTAAATTCAAATTCAATTTAAACCAAATTTAAATTCAAAATTAGATTATAGTGCAATTAAACATTTAAAAACAGTAATAATTCATTCAAACAACACGAACTTGTAAGACCCAGAAATATTAACCAAAACTGTAAACAAAGATCAGTACCAGATGATTGTATCAACATGAAACTTGAGTTGTACTGGTGCCATAGGGGATATATTATATTATTTATATTATATTATATATATATATATATATATATATATATATATATATATAAATAATATTACACAACAAAACTCAAAATAACCTCATATAGGTGTGTATGAGGTAATTTTGGATTTTATTTTTTATTAAATATATTGCTCTTTAATAATAAATACATTGAGTTTTTTTTTTTTGATCAGTTTTAATATTTTATATTACTAGGATCCCCTTGGATTACATACCAATAAATATATTGAGCTCTTTTTCTGGATCAGTTTGTCTCTTTAATAGTGAAAATGAAATGTACTTTTTCCTTACATCCCTTAATAATATCCAACCAGCTCTTAAATTTACACAAGGAAATTAACTCAACTCTTCCCTTTCTTGATGTCTTTCTTGATCCATTGGTATATAATCCAAGTGGATAATAGTAATATAAAATATTAAAATTGATCCACAAAAAGAGCTCACTTACAAAGCAAATAATTAATCTTACTTATTATAAAATCAGATTGTGTGTGTGCGTGTGTGTGTGTCTTTATGTTTATATATTGGATCGGATTTCCTACATTTTTCAACCGATTTCAACAAAACTTCACAGGACTGCGTAAAATTA